CTCTGTGGTAATTAGGGGAAAAAAGTTTCAATAAATGAAACAAGCAGGCTGGGCGCAGTGGCTCATGCCTGCAATTCCAGCACTTTGGGAGGCCAAGGAGGGAGGGTCACTTGATTCCAGGAGTTCGAGACCAGCCTGGGCAACATGGTGAAATCCTCTCTCTACAAAAAAACACAAAAAATTAGCAGGGCATGGTGTTGCACACCTGTAGTCCCAGCAACTTGGAAGGCTGAGGTGGGAGGATCACTTGAGCCTGGGAAGTCGAGGCTGCAGTGAGCCATGATCATGCCATTGTACTCTAACTTAGGTGACAGAGTGAGACCCTATCTCAAAATACAGATAAATAAATAAAAATAAAGCAACAAACAGTAAAAATATACTTCAGTTCTGTATTATGATCTGTTAAGTAACAGAGACAAGTAGATAGATATGAAGGAAGAAAAAAAGTCAGCACAAGTAACAGGAAAAAAAAAAAAAAGAGGTAAAGAACTGTACAGCAAAAAGAATTTTGGAGGGAGGGATGAACAAGATACACACCAACAAACAAACCTAACCAGAGCAAAGCCAGACTCAGAGGAAAACAAAGACTTGTAAGAGGAGCGCAAAGCCTTCGACTTTCTTTTTCTTTTTTTTTAATCAGTGTTGACCAGGTTGGCCTCGAACGTGTAGCCTCGCCTCCTCGAGTCCCAGGGCAACCCGCCTGAGCCACAGCGGCTCCCAAAGCCTTCAACTTTCATGGAATAAAGAAAGATCATTCATCTCATGACTTTTAAATACTGCTCCTAAGGATTCTTTTTCACTCACATTGCCATTCCTTCTAGAAAAGACTCCAAACCAGGAGAAATTCAGCCTGTGTACCAAGTGTAGTTTGTGGGCCTGGTTTCCCTATTTCCTTGTTAGGCAAATGAAAAACCACTAAATAGCCTCATGTCACTAGGGTTTTTCTGTTCCCTGCATGTTTCAAAACTTTCAGCAAATTCCCAGATTACAGATTATAAAATTAAAAGGTCTTCAAAGTAAGTCTCCGTTCTCATCACACTGGGACGTGTTGGCATACCTATCTGTTGTACATTTCACTGCTTGGGGGCATAATTAAACCAGCCTTTACTCATACACTGACATCTTTCATAGAACCAAAACCGAGGAACTCGATCATTTCTAAATTTTGCTACCTATGACTATTCTCCCCAAAAGAATAATTTCCTGCCAGGCATGGTGGCTTACAACTGTAATCCCAGTACTTTGGGAGGTTGAGGCAGGAGGATGACTTGAGCCCAGGAGTTTAAGACCAGACTAGGCAACATAGGGAGATTCCATCTGTACAAAAGAATTAAAAAATTAGCCAGGCAGGTGTGGTGGTGCACGCCTGTAGTCCCAGCTCCCCACCTCTGACGGGCAGGGTAGGGAGCTAAGGCAGGAGGATCACTTGAGCCTGGCAGGTCAAGGGTGCAGTGAACTGTGATAGCACCACTGCACTCCAGAGCCTGGGTGACAGATGAGACCCTGCCTTTAAAAAAAAAAAAAAAAAATCCCTCATATTTTAAAAATTTAAAAGAGGCTTAACACCCTTTTACTTCAATATATAGACATGCGTACTTTTTCCATTGTATAAAAAGACCAATTACCTAAAATTCACAGTTCTTGGATAATTTTTTACATTTTATTTCCCAGTAAAACTGTACTAAAATCTAAGTTCTTTTTCCTGAAGACAAGGCTATATGGTTTTTATTGTGTAATCTTAATTAAAATCACCGAAAGTTAAGTTGATATGGCTTTTGACAACATTTTAATAAACATGATTATTCCCAAAAACAAACAATGGTTGTCAGTCCCACAGGCCATTCCAAGCACTGTAACTTTTCATTTAAAGTTACTTATTTGGGGAAAAATATGAATGCTTTTCCTAAGCATAATAGCTTTTTTAAAAAGTATGAGAATGCATTCATTTACCATATAACAATCTAATCATAAACTTCCTCATGTGCAACATAAAAGACATTATGTTTCCCTCATCAAAATCTCCAAAATTACTGAACATAATATACTGAAGACAATAACCTAAAAATAAACTTTCATCCAGAAGTTGAGTTTTTTGTTCTTTACAAAAAGTATTTTTCTAATTAGCCATAAGTGTTAGGATTCCTTGATGTAGACAATGAATAGCTCCTAAGGAATATATATTTTTCTCAATTACTATAGTAATAAAAATGCCAATAAACTCAAATGTACTGCCTAAATTTCTTTCTTTTTTTTGAGACGGAGTCTTGCTCCGTTGCCCAGGCTGGAATGCAGTGGCATGATCTCCACTCACTGCAACTTCTGCCTCCTGAGTTCAAGCAATTCTCCTGTTTCAGCCTTTTGTTTTGTTTTGAGACAGAGTCTGGCTCTGTCTCCCAGGCTGGAGTGCAGTGGCACGATCCCGTCTCACTGCAAGGCCCGCCTCCGGGGTTCAAGTCATTCTCCTGCCTCAGCCTCCCTAGTAGCTGGGACTACAGGCGCCCACCACCATGCCCGGCTTATTTTTTGTATTTTTAGTAGAGACGGGGTTTCACCATGTTAGTCAGGATGGTCTCGATCTCCTGACCTTGTGATCCACCCGCCTCGGCCTCCCAAAGTGCTGGGATTACAGGCATGAGCCACTGTGCCTGGCCTGTTTCAGCCTTTTGAGTAGCTGGGACTCGAGGCGCATGCCACATCTGGCTAATTTTTGTATTCTTAGTAGAGACCGGGTTTCACCATGTTGGTCAAGCTGGTCTCGAACTCCTGACCTCAGGTGATCCACCTGCCTGGCCTCCCAAACTGCTGGGATTACAGGGGTGAGCCACTGTACCCACCCTGTAAGTTTTTAATTTAGAGCATACAACTGTTTAAAAATCATCTTGTCTCATAAGCTAGATTATAAAATATTTGAGACTTATTAATAAATTTTTTAAAGGCCCATAATGGTTCCAAAAATGTAGGTGGAAAACTCATATTGAAAAGGCACCAAGTGACATTTCCTGCAGACTTTACCTAAAAACCACTGTGGCTTTTCTAAACAGAACAGACTCTCTCAGTCTCACTGCTGAAACCAACAGAACAATGACAACCTAGAAGTGTTCAAACTCACAGGTCTTTCCAGGCTTTGACTAGCCAGGTGTTGCCACAGCCTGTGCAGCCCCAGTACACAAATACTGACACTCTCTGTGCTTCTCCAGCAAGGGTCTCTATTGTCGGAGTCTGAGCTCTCTATAAAAGCAATTTCTCCCAGCAGAAGGAAAACCAGAGTTAGTCTCCTGTACAATAACTGAGAGGGCAATTCTGACCTTACTCAGCACTGTGGAACTGATGGGAGGAAAAAAAAAAGGTTAAAAACTTCTAGGGCTGGGTGGAACAACAGGCTGATTTCAATTCTGTTACATAGGCATGGAAATCAGGACATTCTGGAAAAACATATAATTTCCCATGTAATGTCTTTGCTTTCCATTTCATCTACATTATTCTCTTCCACTCTCCTACTCCCCTCCCAGCAAGGCTGAGAAAACACTCAGGATTGTTTCTTTGGGGAGGAGAAACATAAAATTACCCATATCAGCTTAAGAAATGAAGAAAATTACCAACCAACTTTTCAATCACACCAGCCTCTGCCTTCTGCCGTCAGACACGACGTGCTCATCAGGACAGAGGTTTCTTGTCTTTATTTCAATTCTGGAAATTTTTTGTTTTACAAACTTGTCCAACCCTAAGAACCACCAATGAGGCTGAGTAGAAATTCAGATTCTCTGGTTCCTTCCAAACTTAATCAGCATCTTCAGGGGGAAGGAGCTAAGAGTATTTTTTTTAGTAAGCATCCAAGTAATTCTCACGATGTGATAAATTTAAGAAAGACTAATCTTGGGACCATGTTCACCTTTAAAAAAAAAATCCATTCCTCTCTTTCCTTTATGAGTCCTTAGAAAGTAACACATGGATTAAAGGAACTGAGCTGCACACATCAAGCTAAACCCAGCCAGCTTTGCATGCTAGCCCTTTGGGGCGACTAAATAATATACGAAAATGAACTAGCTCTTCCTAATTGTTAAGTAATTATCGTGAAAGTTGGTGGGTCTAAGCCTCTATTTAGGCAGAGACTGTTTCTCTAAATTTCAATTAATTAAAGCATTATCATGCGTTCTATCTAGCAAAGGAATAATATTGTCTTACATGCACTTATCAAAAACCTGCAGAGACTAAAACAACCATGTCTAAAATTCTAAAGGTAATACAAAAATAGGAAGAGCTTCTTGAGAATGGTATAAAAAAGAAAATAAAGTGGATTTGGATATGCCTATTTCTTTCAGCATTGTTATATCCTCGGTGTGTAGTACAGAACACGGCACATGGAAAGCATTTAATATGTGGTTGATGAGGGGATGAATGAGAGTGAATAAATGAATGGGGCGTGTGTCCGTGAGACAAATAAAAAATAGCATCACGTAAGTCAGTAGTACCTTTAGAGGAGAGAAAAAAAAATTTTTTTTTTTAAATTTCTTTAAATTACCTGTTAGAAAACGTTTACCAGCCTTTAGTCTGAATAATTGACATTGAAATTTACTTTCAAAACAGGAAAGGCAAATCCTGAGAGGCCCACAAAAGCACAAAAGGAAAGAAAAGGAAACAAAAGCTAAAGTAGTGCTTCAGGAGTAATAAAACCCAAGACAGGCAGTCCATGAGGACAGCAGCACACAGTGTGACATCGACGCTCCTCCCCAGAGTGTGGACTCAGCATGAAAAACCACGCACAGCATACTTTAGTGCTAAAATTCACAAGAACAAAGACTGAACAAGAAAGGGAAGGAGAACTTAGGTAGAGGTAGGGCAAAACCCCAATGGAGACAGAATGAAAAGAGAGGAGGAGGGACATCGTGCAACATCTCATGCAGGGACCTTGGTGAGGACAAGTGGGTACTGGGCAACACTCGGTGAGAACAGAGGACCAGAGAAAGTGAGACACACCTCAATCACAGAAACAAACCGCTTACCCTCCGCTTTAGTGGTAGTACCATCTTTAAGCAAATTAAAAAACAAGGGAAGGGATAACAGGGAACAGTTAGTAACATTCAAAAAATTAAAAAGCCAAATGTTATTAGCTACTAAAAAAGCAAAAGTACAATTTAAAACAAAATTAAAAGGGAAACAAGTTCAACAGCAAAGCAGAGTCTGAAGCAAGTAAGTGTGCCTTGTATTGAAATTAGCTTGACATAGCATAATGGTTTTTTTGCCTTTGGAAAATAAAACATAGAAGGGCAACCCAGGGTAGTGCCACAGTTGAAAGAAAGATTGTTTTTTGTTTTAGCCAACTCTAATCCTCTTAAGAGTTCCTTTTTCTTGGAAGAAAGTACCAGCAGAACAGGGCAGAGAGGAGGAACTAGAAGATAAAGTACTGAAGAGTTACCCAAAGAGCAGAGCCAAGTAAGAAGCTCAGAGAAGCTTGCTCTAGCAATGCCTATCCCAACTACACGTCCAGCAGCGAAAGCTGTCGAGCATGGTACCTGAGTCCAGGCCTATGTACTCCATGTCTTCCCTCATGTGTCTGGACTCTAGAAGTTTGGAAAAGGATCATCAGCTTTAATGCTACACTTTTGCAAAGATGTCATGTGTCAACCTAAGTAGCAACTGTAACAAATTCTCACTAGGATTGTGTTATATTTCAACTTTTTGGTGTTTTCGTTTGGGGACAAAATAAGGGAAATTGAGGTAGAATTCTCAGGAAACAGAGAATTTGAATACTCCAGTCTCGTTCTTTGAAGAGGTTAATACTTGACTGAAAACTTACCATCAGTGCTTCTGAAGGGTCAGTTCCATATTATCATACCAAAAGATGTGAGGGCTTTTACTAGCACTGGGGGAAGTCTATACCAGTCATATTCAAACACTCCAAATACAGACAGAAAAACAAAAACACTGAATATTCTAATGGCTGATTTTTACTCACTTTTTCCAGCAATGAAACAAACACTAATTACAAATACTAAAGGTGGATCTAATATACTAAAGCATAGGTAAGTACTGAAAAACTAAACTAAAATTAACAGAACTAATTCAGTGTAGGAGGGAAGAGTTGTTACTTCTCCTTTTCTCAATGGTTACATATGGACAACACTCCTACATAATGTTGGAATAGTTAAAACGATTTAAAAAACAGAGTTCTTAATGACATTGTTTCTTCTCAATTGTCATGTGTGTATGAGGTATTTCCATAAAAACAAGACTGACTGAGCAGATGTTCCAGAACACGTATCTTTCAAATTAATAATGTTCCTATCACAATCACACTGTCTTCCACCTTACAGGACAATAGTTTATAAAGAACCTTTATATAATTTTGTTTTGCCTCATATATGAGTTAGGTGGCTATTATTACAAGTAATCTGCAGGTATGGAAAATAGACTTACAGATTCCATGGCCTGCTCCAGGTCACAGAGCTAATAAATGGCAGACCCTAAAATCTTCTCTGAATGCTATTTGTTCACTGTGCTTCCAATGTTGAAAACATTTTCCGAACATTGGTTTTAGAACTGACTCCGGAATTTGTCTGAAAGTTACATGAGTAACTCCACCTCAATATTTCAGGAAGTTTAAATTTTGTTCATTTCCGTAAAATCTAAACTAGAATCAATCCAGCTAAATCCTTAGATTCTGGCTTTGAATGAATTGGCTCTTACAAAAACAAAACGAAACAAACAATTAGCCTGACACATAGTACGTGTTAGGCATTTGCTGAAAAATATGAGTAGCTGATTTGTCACTATGTGAGACAGTAAAAATTGTGAAAGTAATTTTTTAAAAACATTTTTGGGCAATCCTCAGAAGGCATGCTCCTCCCAAGGTGACACATGGAAGGACAACACTCGTTTGCACAGATAGGATTATGCTGATTCATGAGCTCATCACATTCCTTCAGATTCCTCCTGCCATTCCCCACAACCCAATCCGATGATCCCTGCCAGCTCTGGTTCTATTCTCAAATTGAGAAATATCTAACTACACTACCTTTGGTGTATCCCTCACTGAACCTGCTGGCTCTGCTCCCACCAGAGTCAGAGGGGAAAAACTTAGCTTTGACAATATGGGAGGTGGCTGGGCTTGCCACGGAGGAGGAGGAAGAGTTGAGGAAAGGATGTGCTCAGTGCCACCCACCCTCCGAGCACGCATGTACTGTGTACTTACTCATCACTAAAACGGATGATGCACCAAAGAAAGGGACACTCAACAAGGGTAGCTGGCTGATCAGCAGCAAGTGCACAAAGCTACTTAGATTTAAACAGTAGCCCTGCAACTGTGAGACTTGCCTCAATCATGGGTTTTTGTATTTTGCTAAGAGGTAAGAGTCATCTCTCGCAGAGCAGTGCAGGAGGGAAAGGGTGACAGTGGTGTGGTTACCTAAGGATGCGTATGACCCTGGAGGCAAAGCCGCTGCAGAGCTGAAAGGCGTCGTGCCCGCAGATGAGGAGACTTTGGATTTGGCACTGGCTGCTGCATTCACATCAATATCACTTCGAGATCGCTGGAGGGACCCAGTCGTTGACACAGATTTGGTACTAACTGTAGAAGCTTTAGTGACAAATGAGGAAATATGAATAAGGACTACATAGAATTTTGAAAATACACTGCTAAAGTTTGATGTTGTTTGGCTTTCCTGAAAACAAATACCGCGTTTTAACAAATGTTGGAGCATAAAAAACTGACCAACAGTTTTTCCTGGTCCCAGAAGAGAGTTCAGGCAATGCTGAAGGAAACTAAAAGTGACCTCAACTGTAATGTATCAATTACATTTGTTTTCTTGTTATCGAAGACTATAAACCCCAAGGAAACGGACCATGTTTCTGCTTGCTATGAAGAAGTGAGATAAGGAAAAAATGCTCACGTATATGGAGTCTCCTCATGAAATGACATAACTGTGCCACGCCCTCTTACCCAGACACCCTCCTCCTTCTGGAACATGCCACTCTCCCACCACTAACCACCACCACACTGCTGCTGCTGCTCAAAATGCCACCAAGATGTCTTCACTGCCTCATCAAAGGATCAGAGACAGGAGGTGCAGTTTGTGGCAGTGTCAACATGCAGGGGAGGTGGGGAGAAAAGGTCACAGAGTTTCATTCCTAAGTCACCCCATCAATGTTGTCCTCAGCAGTGAGTGGCCCTGACAAAGCGGAGCTCTGCCGGAGAGTCAGGGCAGGGCACAGCAGGCTATGTTCAAGCCTAAGAAGGAACTGAGAGCAGGCTGCCGGCCTCCCGTGCCTGGGCAGCCTCTCACAGCTTCAAGTACAGACCACCAGAGCCGAGAACAGGCCTTCTCCGCGGCTGTCAGTCTCACCTCTAGATGTGGTACTTCCAGTAGGACTTCTTTTGGCAGACAGCGGACGACTAAAAGTAAAGATGTATACTATTTATTACATGTACTTTATCCAAATTAATACAAATACAAACTACAACCGGAAATTATTACGATGAAGAATTATTTCAAACACAGAGAGTGAAATAGTCACTACAGACAGAAATCAAACACAGAGCAGAGATGACAATATATTAATTCACGGAGTTTGAACGCCCTCCATTTCCAAACTTGTCTCCAGGTTCACACTTACATCCTCTGAGAAGACTCTCTGAAGCACTGGTGTGTATAGTTCACACTACTCCATAATTCACTTATGTTACTCTAAAACTGTATTCTAGGACTGCCATATAAATTTAACTGAAAAATAGTATGGTAGAGACCAAAGCAACCTATTTCTTACCACTCCGTGGTGGTATCTTACTTTGCAGCAGGATCTACCTGAAGTAAGGGGGTGTTGTAACAAGCACACATGTAAAAACATAGCTAGAATTTGTGTTCTCATGCGACAAACTCTGAAACACAAATTCTCACGAGAATGATAAGCAGAGACGAATCCCTTACTTTAGACTCTCTTGAGAGCTGGAAGACGAGCGGTCTGACTGAGGCAGAGACACTATGCTGTCTGAGTTCTTCAGGTGGGACTGCAGGGCTTTCTGGTAGGAGGACTCCAAGGTGTGGTACAAGTGCTCTGCTTCTCTGCTGAAGTGACTGTGGAAACCCCAGTAACATCTAGAGGAAACACACAAAATCCTGTTCTAATCCAAGGATCCAAACAGGTCTTTCGCTGAACTCTGGAGTACACCACAGAGGATTTTCAAGGACTGGAAGCCTCAGTTTAGCTGCTAATAGTAGCAGGAGGAGAGGGTGAACAAAGGAGACCTGGTACGAATCCCAGCCTCACAATTTTACTGTCTTTTAGACAATGGGCAAGTCACTTACCCTCTCTCAACATTAGCCTCATTTATAACACGGGAATTAAAGAGTCTAACTTGCAAAACTGGGGAACTTAGGGAAGGTGCAGCTAAACATCTAGGACTATACCTAAAACACAGGACAGGCTCATTAAAATGGCAGCTATTATAAATTCAATTACACATCTCTTGATATAAAGTATTTAAAATTGCCTTAGGTAACATGTGCAAAAGAAAAATTTTAAAATGTTCAGAGCTACTTGAAATCGGTATCACATTATGACTAAAGACCAAGAAAAAAATGGGCCGGGGATGGGAAGAGTCCAATACAAGGATAAAAACAGGATAAACAGATCATTAACAAATCCATTCCTAAGAGTTTTCAGCAATGACTAATTATGTCACTTATTTTGGTAGAAACCAGCCAAGAAAGAATTGGCACGAACACTTCATAGTTATAATAAGCTCAGAAACAAGTGAAATATAATTTAACTGTGAAGGCAGTCAAAGAGCAACAAGTACTAGATCAGGATGCATCACTGCAGCTAAGTAAAACCATAATGTTGCAGGTTAGATTTTAGCACGTATCAATTAGGAGAGTTGGTCAACTATGAGAGTAAATTCAAAAAAAAATCACAGATGCAACATTGGCAGCAGTTATGGACGCACTGCCCAAGAGAGAATGTCTTAATATCAAACTTCTGGTATTTACAGTCACAGTAGCAAAAATTATTTCCAAGGCCAGACGCAGAGGCTCACACCTGTAATCCTAGCACTTTGGGAGGTCAAAGCGGGCAGATCATGAGGTCAGGAGATTGAGATCATCCTGGCTAACATGGTGAAACCATGACTCTACTAAAAATACAAAAACTTAGCCAGGCGTGGTGGTGGGCACCTGTAGTCCCAGCTACTGGGGAGGCTGAGGTAGGAGAATGGCAAGAACCCAGGAGGCAGAGCTTGCAGTACGCCGAGATTGTGTCACTGCACTCCAGCCTGGGTGACAAAGTGAGACTCCATCTTAAAAAAAAAAAAAAATTTCCAAGGAGGTAACAAATACAGAGGCCATGCCCACATGATTGGAGGAAACAGTCCTAATGGCAAAAGTACCTCATTTGTGAGACAGAAACAGCAAGTTATCACTGTGATAATCCCAGGCATTAGGTCAATTCAGCTCCCCTTAATATGATTCACACCAAGGAATCACAGATGCTTGCAAAGAAGTGACTGCAGGGAGAGAATTCCCTGTGGCCACGATTTTTCATGGTAAATCATTAAAGCAGCTTTGGATTACAATATGGCTTAATGAATAAATGAATACATTGAGCATGTATACAAGTGCCTTCCAGAGCTATGTGATAATTTGTGATGAATGTAAAAATGAGCATTCTTTTGTCTCCCTCAGTCCTGTTTATTCACAAGGTTGAGTGATGTTATTAAAAAAAGACAGAAATATTCCAAAATGGCCTATTGGGGGTCATGTTTAAAATTCATGGTTAACAAATATGTTCAAGTCACTTAACAAGTTTTTAATAAGGCAATCCATATAATTCATGTGAAATACAGAAGAAGTTAATTTAAAAAGTGGGGTACAATAAAAACTTACTTTCTGGCTTCTATTCTTGCTTCGGAATCAGCATCATGTATTCCCTTCTTTATTGTTTCAGCTAATACTGATATGTGTCTAGATATTTAGAAAAGAAAGCAGTAACAATCATAAATGTATGGTTTAATGCGGATGAAACCAGGTGGGAGAAATAACTTCCAAATGGCAACATGGAGCTGGGAGTCTCTGTGCCAAGGCTGGTCAGTCCCCAGGTGGCTGGGCAAAGCAGAGCACTCCTACAATCCTTTAATTTTCAGCCCTGCCCCAACACCCTAGCTCCACTCCAACCCACCCATACCTAAAGACTTTCATAACTCTATTCTCTTGTGGGATTTTTTTAAAAAAACAAAAGCTGATTTTTCAAAATTTGCACTTACAGCTCAATCTTTTATGAACCCCCAAAACAAAATCTTATGTTTTTCATATCAGAACTAGTTTCTACGGAAATTATGAGATAATGACCTTAATACTGAACAGGCTGTCTACATCAAATACAGAGGGAGAAAAAGAAAACTTTCAAATGAATGAAATTCCTTGAAGGACCTAACAGCTACAACTTGTCTACTAACAGCAACTTTAAACAGTTACCTCGTGGGAACTGAAGGGGATGTCAAGCAGCAGGGCCAGAGTCAGTAAGAGTTTCTACTGGCTCTGCAGCTGTCAGAATGCACATGGACATAGTAGTATTTCAACCAATGAAATTCACTACAAGTGTCTGCAAATATTATGTGACCAACATCAGTAAAACAACAGACGTAGTCATGAAAACAAACGCATATATTCCTCCATTCTTACAGAAAGCCAGCTGGACCACTCACCAAAGCATTCACTCTCAAGATTCAATTCAGAGGGAAAAATGGTTTCAAATCAGATGCTCACCGTTCTAGTGAATGTGTCTGCCATTCTTGTAAAAGCAAATCTAAAAATTCAAAACAGCGCCTAAAAAGTATTAAGAAATACACAACTTATTAATATATATTTTAGTGAAAATGAAACAGCATTTTTCATAAGTGACCCAATACTGCTTTTTATAATTAGTAAATTTCTTCTGATTTTTATGATTAGAAAAACAGAACATAAAGAATGAATCAGAACTGACTAAAAACCAAAGCAAATGAAAGTAATGAAGCACCTACTGGTACCACAGGGACACAGGGACAGGATCCAAGTGTTTCTCTCCAATCAGAAGCTTGCACTTCATGGCAACATCACTAAAAGGACTTGCCACTGTCATTCGTTTTTACACTATCCTAAGTAATATGTTAATAGAAAATGTACGCATGCACAGAAGATCAACAAACACGACAGAATCAGGTCTTTGCATTAATTTCAGAAAATGCTTTGCACAAAAAAAGTTAAAAATACCTTGAAAAACTAAGTGCTCTCTATATTTTCACGCTAAGAAGGCCCTAAGTAGTGCTTACAATGGATTTTCTCCAACTACTGTGCTTTCCTCTGACCAACCTTTCAGCATTCTTCTTTAAGCCTTTTCACTTTTATGATTTTTCTTGGTCTGATTTGTGCACAAAAACAATTTAGATTACATCACCACTTCAGGTTCTAGCTCTACGAAATTTTCTTTTCCTGGCTGGACACAGAGGCTCATGCCTGTAATCCCAGCACTTTGGGAGGCCAAAACAGGCGGATCACGAGGTCAGGAGATCGAGACCATCCTGGCTAACACGGTGAAACCCCGTCTCTACTAAAAATGCAAAAAATTAGCCGGGCATGGTGGCGGGCACCTGTAGTCTCAGCTACTCGGGAGGCTGAGGCAGGAGAATGGCGTGAACCCAGGAGGCGGAGCTTGCAGTGAGCTGAGATCCGGCCACTGCACTCCAGCCTGGGCGACAGAGTGAGACTCCATCTCAAAAAAAAAAAAACAAAAAAACAAAAAAAAAATAGCCAGGCATGGTGGCGGGCACCTGTAATCCCAGCTACTTGGGAGGCTGAGACAGGAGAATCACTTGAACCCGGGAGGCAGAGGTTGCAGTGAGCCGAGATGGTGTCACTGCACTCCAGCCTGGGCAACAGAGCAAAACTCTGTCAAATAAACAAACAAACAAATAAATAAAATTTTCTTTTTCCTAAGTCTAGCATTTCTATTTTTGTATGAATAAATCCTAATAGTCCTAGGAACCCATTCAAGAACACACAAATCAGAAGTAAAATCTTTCTCTAAAGAAATGACCAGTCTTTCTTTCCTACAATCTTACCAATTCACAACTTATAATCCACACACAATCATTCAATACATCAAGGCTGGGAGCAGCAGCTCATGTCTGTAATCCCAGCACTTTGGGAGGGCAAGACAGGAGGATCACTTGAAGCCAGGCGTTTGAGACCAGCCTAGGCAACAAAGCGAGACATCGCTCTACAAAAAAATTTTTTTTTTAAATTAGTTGGGCTGGGTGCGGTGGTTCACACCTGTAATCCCAGCACTTTGGGAGGCTGAGGTGGACGGATCATGAGGTCAGGAGATCAAGACCATCCTGGCTGACACAGTGAAACCCCATCTCTACTAAAAATACAAAAAATTAGCCAGGCGTGGTGGCGGGCGCCTGTAGTCCCAGCTACTCAGGAGGCTGAGGCAGGTGAGTGGCATGAACCCAGGAGGCGGAGCTTGCAGTGAGCCGAGATCGCACCACTGCACTCCAGCCTGGGTGACAGAGCGAGACTCTGCCTCAAAAAAAAAAAAAAAAATTAGTTGGGCACGGTGGTATGCGCTAATAAAGTCCTAGCTATTTAGGAAGCTGAGGTGGGTGGATTGCTTGGGCCCAGAAGTTTGAGACTGCAGTGAACTATGATTGCACCACTGCATTCCAGTTTAGGCAACCAAGTCAGACCCTGTTTCAAAAATAAATAAGTAAAAATAATTATTTACTAACCCTTTACCGTGTGTCAGATGCTGGAGATCCAATGATAACCAAGACACAGCCAGAGAACAAAAGAGACAGTCACATTGCTAGAATGCAAGGGGCTCCAGCAGTTCACAGGAGAGCCCTGCAGCTTGGTCCTAGGGCTGGCAGTGGTGGGGCCAGAGGGGTAAGCAAGTCTTTTCAAAGGAAAAGACACCAACTACACACACACCCATTCTTCACCATCACCTTCCCTATTCCTGCCCCAATCTAGACCACGTTTATTCTACTTCCACCTTTTTGCCTGTGGCATTTCCCAGTCTGGGTTTTTCTTGGCTCTTTACTGCACTTATTCCTACTCATCTTTCAAAATGTGGCTCATTTGTAACCCATCTATGAAGCTTCTTGGGAAAACATCAGCAAGCTTTAATCACTGCTGTATCTGAACTCCTAATTCCACAATATATATGATAATGTCAGAGTGTATGTAATCCAATTGTTACCAATTCTACACAGCCAAGCTAAGTACAGGCTGCATATGTAACAGAAGGTGCACTGCTTTGCTTACACTGCACTCTTAAGCTCCCTCTCCCTTTCTGAGGGCAGAGGGCAAAGGGACTGGGCAAGATGGTCCCTATTACTTCTCTCAGCATGAAGACATACAGTTCTGTCTGACACCCACTGGCTAAATACAGAAACAACAATCTGAGTGTGTGGTTCAGAAACTGGTGAGGGTGGCGGCATTTCTATTGTCACAATGACTGTGGGGTGCTACTCATATTTCGTGTCAAAGGCCAGAAATGCTAAATGTTATGAAGTGAATTTTATCTCCCTGCCCCACCAAATTAATATGTTGAAGTCCTTCCTCTCAATGTGATGGTTATTTGGAGATGGGACCTTTGGGAAGTGATGAGGTTTAGATGAGGCATGATAATGGGGTCCTCATTATGAGATTAGTGTCCTTATAAGAAGAGATAACAGGCAGCTTGCTCTCTCCTCCCTCCCACCCTGCTCTCCCTCTCTCCCATGTGAGGACACAGGAGAACACTGGTCTACAGGCCAGGATGAGAGTCCTCACCAGAATCTGACCTTGCTGGCATGCTGATTTTGAACTTCCAGCCTCTAGGCCAGGGGCGTCCAATCTTTTGGCTCCTCTGGGTCACCGTGAAAGAAGAAGAATTGTCTTGGGCCACAAATAAAATACACTAACACTAATGATAGCAGATGAGCTTTAAAAAAATCGCATGTTTTAAGAAAGTTTACGAATTTGTGTTGGGCATTCAAAGTTGTCCTGGGCTGCATGGTTGGACAAGCTTGCTCTAGACTGTGAGAGATAAATCTGTTGTTCATGCCATCCAGTCTGTAGTATTTTGTAATGGCAGCCCAAGATGATGAACCCCCTAAACATCCTGCAATGTTCCACAACAAAGATCTGTGTCATCTTATTGGAGAAATTTTGCCTTACACAAGGAAAAACACATTCTGAATTTCTCTTGGAAGCCTAACAATAGCGAAATGAAAACAGCAGCAAGATGAAAATAACAACAGCCACAGCTGCAACAAATTAAGCTTTCACTAAATGTTTTACCTAATGACTGAATCCTCCAAACCTTATAGAGGGGTACCCTTATACCTAACGAGTCAGATGAGTAAGTGGGAGAGGAATGTTTCAACGGGTGCTGGTCAGGTTCTGAAGTTCACAATCATCCCTCTGGTGTGCTGACTTTACATTCTCGAGAATCTCTAGGGGGAGCTGAAGCTGCTCCACTCTAACCCCAGGAGAAGCTGAACCCTAGGTCAAGGGTAGATTGCATTCGCTGGGGGTACACACTTGAGTCACACAGTATGGAGTTACATCTTTTCAGTGGAAGGTATAAATTTCTTTTTTCATGATTTTAGATAGCTGGATTATTCCTCTTTTCTCTTTTTGTCTTTCATGTAGCTATTAATGAGATGGATCTAAAACCAACTACTAGGTATATATCCCAAAAAAATGCAGTCAGTATGTTGAAGAGATATCTGAACTCTCATGATTATTGCAAGACTATTCACAGTAGCCAAGATAGGGAATCAACCTAAGTATCCATCAACAGATGAGGAGATAAAGATAATGCAGCATACATACACAACAGAATCTATTCAGTCTTAACAACAACAACAACAAAATAAAGCTTGTCATTTAAGACAACACAGATAAACCTGGAAAATATTATCTTAAAAGAAATAAGCCAGGCATACAAAGACAAGTACTGCATGATCTCACTTATGTGTGGAGGAATCCAAAAAGGTCGACTCAGGCTTGGTGCAATGGCTCACACCTGCAATCCCAGCACTTTGGAGGTTGAGGCCAGCCTGGGCAACATAGTGAGACCTTATCTCTATAAAAAAATTAAAAATTAGCTGGGGGCGTGATGGCACACACCTATGGTCTCAGCTATTTGGGAGACTGAGGCAGGAGGATCACTTGAGCCCAGAAACTAGAGATTGCAGTGAGCCATGAGTGTGCCACTGCACTCTAGCCTGGGTGACAGAGTGAGGCGCCACCTCTAAAGCAAATAAAGTTGGACTTACAGAAGCAGAAAGTAGAATGGTGGTTCCCAGAGGCTGGGGGTTGGGAGACAGGGAGATGTAAAGTATGCAAAATGTCAGGCAGATATGAGTAAGTTCAAGAGATCGATTGTACTTCATAGTGATGGTGACTATAGTTAGTAACAACATATTATATACTTTGAAATTGCTGAGAGTAGATTTCAAGTGTTCTCACCACAAAAAAGTATGTGAGGTGATACACGTTAAAGAGCTTGATTTAACCATTCCAAAATGTATACACATTATCAACACAGCATGTTGTACACCATAAGACTTCACAATTTTTACTTGCCAATTACAAAAATAAAGGTTGGGCATGGTGGCTCCCATCTATAATCCCAGCACTTTGGGAGATCAAGGTGGGAAGACTGCTTGAGCCCAGGAGTTCGAGATCATCCTTGGGCAACAGAATGAGACCCCTGTCTCTAAAAACAGTCAAAAAAATGAGACCCCTGTCTCTAAAAACAGTCCAAAAAAAAAAAAAAAAAAAAAGGTTAGTGGGCCATGGTGGTGTGTGCCTGTAGTCCCAGCTACTTGGAAGCCCAGGAGCTTGAGGTTACAGTGTGCTGCACTCCAGCCTGGGTGAAAGAAAGAAAAGAAAGGAAAGCAATAAAGGAAGAAAGGCAAGAAAGGAAGGAAGGAAAGGAAAAAGGAAAGAAAAAGAAAAGGGGAAGGGAACAAAAGGGAAAAGAAGAAAAGGAAAGGAAAGAAAATTTTTAAAAAGGCAGTCTGTGGCCAATTTGCTAAAAATAATAAAATAAATTTTAAAACGACAAATCCAGAGCTGCTGCATGCTTAAGAGGGTCTTGTACCCATAGAAATCCAGCAGGATCAACATGAAACCCCAGGGAAAAAGGCAAACAGCTAGCAAAAGTCATCCGGGCTCTAAATCTTAGAGTGAAGGATTCTTTCACAGGTCTGAGCTAAAATAACACAGTCTTTACTCCTCACACGTAGTTTAGGGCAGCCCACCAGAACATATAAGACAGGGACTTGGGAACAAACCCCTAGCTAGTTACCCAGGTTGTATTTGCCTGCGTCTTCTGGATATATCTCCCACAACTGCACAGAACTAAGTAATAGTGAAGATTCAGAATCCCAGAAATCGCTAAACAGAAGATGCAAACAACACATACCTTTCAAATATGAAACTACTGCCATTGATGTTTATGGTATTTTTTTCTTGCATGCAGTTACTGCCTTTACTCAGGGAATAGGGCAGACCAATGACAAAGGTAGGAGGATTATCACAGGAAAAAAATGTACAGGGGGTCCTCTCCCCTTCTCCTTCTGCCACTAGCCCCCAAACTCTCTCTCACACAGACACACACACACACACACACACACACACACACACACACACAGAAACATAATAGAGGTTGTCCACATTCATTTCCCAAAATATTTAGATCTTGATTCTTCAACTCAAAATCATTTATTGCAGTGATTTTAAGTAATACTAAGCATTTTAAACATGAAATTTTATCCATGGAAGGAGATGTGGAATTTGTTTTGGTTTTTAAACAATTTAAAAACAATGAGAAAACCCTTTAAAATTTACCTTCTAACAGCGACAGACTTAGAGGTACAGTTGCTTGTTATGACAGGTATTAACCTAGGGATGTGTGTGTGCTGTGAAGAACAACAAAAAACAGAGGTGAACACTTGCAAATACAAAAGTAAAACAAAATTAAAAGAATCACTTCCTCACTAATCTACTTATATAGCACATATACATTCAGATTAGAATGTCAGTGAGTTTTAAAAGAAAAAAAGAATTCACAGGATATTGTCAAAAGGCATTAGAAAATTTACAGAGTTAAGAACAGGCAACATGATGACATGAAGGTAAGCCTAAAACAATCATTACTATGAGGTCTAAATTATCTCAGCTGTAGAGATCTGAGTGGGTTTGAAAGGAGTCATTAGACCAATATATTTTGATATTGTTTCAATGGAAATGTCCAATAATGACCTTGGATTTAACAGTTGAAGTAGGCAGTGCAAGTAAGCACAGTAAGAACTAATAATACAAAGTAAATAACCAAAATAATCAAGAATATTCTGGATAGACTTTAGACAATATCATCAAGCCTCAAAGCTTCAAGAACTGCTTTTGGGTAAAAAGGACTTGAAAGTGGTGGGGAGGTAACGTGAAAAACCATTTTAAACCTTTGTGAACTATTAGATTTTGTTAAAAACTTGTGTATAAATTACTTGGATAATTATTTAAATTTGAAGAAATAAGTGCCTAGAAAATTTAACCAAAGAGAATATTTGGTTTCTGTGCTTATGTGCAATTAATTGAACTTTTGGGTGAAGAGCAAAACCACAAGTACCAATACCTAAAACGGAAGGACTGGGATTAAGGAGGTTAAGACTAAGAGTAATATCTAAGTAACAAGAATACAATATAATCTCAGAAGCAGACACCGGATGTTCGAATATTTTAAACCAATAGTGAGCTAACCTCATTAACTTTATAACACATCCATAATTCACATTATGGATTATAAAAAGCTCATATGCCACAATTAAGTAGGGGGAAAAGATGATATATATATAAAATTCCAATATAATTATGCTAATAAATTTAATTACTCAATATAATTATGTTAACAAAAATGCCTCTAATATTTATCAACCATCGGTATTTACCACTTGCTTATTTCATGTATGGCCTATAACATACTTACCCGAATAATTAACCTAACAGCTACAACACCAGACGTGGCCATAATTTTGGCACTGTTTGGAATTAAATTAAAGATAGTTGGCATAATGGCTTCGGCTCCATGGTCAAACTTATTCCCCAGAACTGATGACAGATGCCTAAAACAAGAAATGGATACTGGACTGTAGTTATTTTTCTTAGAAACGGTGAGGCACATAAACCATTTAACATCTAGAGCCTTCATTTAAAGTTATCGAGAAAGGACAAGGGTCTAAGATTTCCGATGTGCATGTTGAGAACTTGGCAAATAGTTCTTAGCCCAGAAGTGCTTTTTTGTTTGTTTTTTTGTTTTTTTTTAATTTCCAACTAGTCTTTGTGGAGCTTTTTGTTTTCTAGAGGCAGGATCTAACTGTGTTGCCCACGTTGAACTTGAACTCCTGGGCTCAAGCAATCCTCCCACTTTGGCTTTCCAAGCAGAAGGGACTCCAGGCACATACCAGCCCACCTGCCCCAACTGGTCTGAAAATAGCAAACAAACTGAGGATATATTAATCAAACACAAATACGAAAAAGCACCCTTGGCTTTTTTTTTTTTTCGTATTTTTTCTTTTATCTTAACATAAAATATTCAGGCTTCAAAATCTGACTGCAGCCAAAACTTTAAACAGCTGCAATGCCTCCTCTTGCTGCTGCTGCTTTGATATTCTGAGATACATTCTAACACAAAGTTTTATCAGCTTTGATCACTAGTACACATAGAGCTAGAATAAAATTTTACTGCAGTAGATGCCTTTAACTTTATAACTACGGCACTCTTCTAGGAACAAACATTCTGATAACCACACTATTGCCTGCCAGCAAAAATCAATGAAAAATCAGAGAAACAGGATTTCATAGAGTTTCATCTTTCCATATTAATAACTGCTTCAAAGTTTGAAATACAGGCTTCAGAGCTATATCACTGAATAAAATAAAATTTAAAATCTGTCACACTTCACATAATTGAGCAAAAAGTATTGTAAAACCACTGACAGAAGTGTTAACTGGAATGGGTCTTGAAGACTAGTCAGAAGTTACATTAAAGAGACCCAGCTCACAAGTTCAAGGAGACATCTCTGAAGCTCTGTGGTGACACTATTTTATGGTGAGAATATGGAGCGTCGCAGTCCTTACCCCAACGTGATACAAGCCTCCCGCACTACCTGAGACCGCAGATCCTTAGCAGAGAGTTTAAAGGCTCCATCCAAAAGACGCAAATGTTGAAAGAAGTTATCATACTCAGCGGCACCAGCCAAAAGTAAAGATCTAATCTTTTTTAGCTAATGGAATAGAGAAAATTCAGAAAAACAGAAAACAATTCTAACATAGAATATACAAAACAGAAGCCATCAAATACAAAATAGATAATTGTTAAAGTTCAACTGATTAGAAAGCTTTCCCAAGAGAATTCAGCCAGTTAAATATTAGCTAATACAATAAACAAATCTACATATCACAAATAAGACTAAATAATTTTTAACTGGAGTATTTGTGACACATATATTGTAATTTCTGCAAAAAAAGTTTTACATTTGAAATATCTTAAAGTATTTATAGATCCTACAACACTAATGATAAATAACTAAAAACTTTTGGCTTGTGAAGAGCCCCTCCTAAGCTTACCTCCCCCGACACCCCACTTCAACTGCCATTTATTTAATGAACCAAAGAAGCAGCATTCCTACCTGAACCATTATCCTCCACTGAACCATTAACTGGCTGGTCTGAATTTAAAATACAATACAGTGGCAATGGTACCACCTCCCTTCTTGCCAGCCAACCAGTAGAAAATAGCCTTCTCAGATCAGACACACCCTCGCTTTAACGCCCAGCCCACTTTCCATTAATCTACTTTTAAAAATAAAGGAGACACAACTTTCTAGCAAGTGATATGAAGAAAGAAAAGAATATTAGGGGACGTACACTAAAACTGCCACAAAAAAGCCACTTTAAAGGCAAACAATCACAGAATGAAACTTCTGCTAAGGTGACAGCAGACGCTGTCACCATACACTCCACATTAGGTCTTTGTTAAAAGACTAGATGATTCATAAAGGTTTAAGTTGGTGTGTTTCCAAAATAAAAATAAAAGGAGATACTCTACTAAAAGGGTGAAGTGTACATACGATAATTTGTATTTAAAATATATACTATTTAAAATTCATTAGAGTTGTACCCTGATTTCATAATAAAGTATGAGATATTTAAATACATCTTATGAAAATGTAATCACATGAAGTCAACAGCTTACAGCATTTACTCTCTGCTCCCAATCATGCTTGTCATCAGATAGTATTTCCCTAATTTTGTTTATGGATTCCTCAAGGTCTCGGCTGGAATAAATCTGTAAGCAAAATTAATTTACAATCAATATAAAAACATGCAGAATAAACAGATTACTTCTTAATTACATGAAGACCATTTAGTAAAAGAAATTATTTAATTTTTAAGAAACACCTATGAGAAAATATCTGCAGAGTTTTGTCTATAATGAGGCTCTTTCTCACTATAAATGTGTACCCACAAGATTTGCTGCCGTACGTGAATGACCCTGCCTCAAACGTAGCTTCACTATAAACTTAACGGATGATTGCATGGACAAAGAGAAACAAGCCTAACGGGAAACAGTCAGGGATGCCTAAGTCATTTCTTACTCTTAGTATTATTTATAGCATGACACTATACCTATAATTTTAAAGACTTTCAAATGTACGTTCTCATTTATCTCCACATCTTACTTAGAAAACAGGTAGGGTACAGGGTATAATCAATCTTGATGTATGCTGGGAAGGTCAGGTCAAGTACTTAAGGATGAACCTGAACCCAAGATTGTTTTTTTGTTTGTTTTTTTTTTTAAGAGACTGGGTCTCACTCTGTCACCCAGGATGGAGTGCAGTGGCGCAATCTCAGCTCACAACAAACTCCACCTCCCGGGTTCAAGGGAGCCTCCCAGCTCACTCTCCTGAGCAGCTAGAACTACAGGCATCTGCCACCACAGATGATTTTTGTATCTTTTGTACAGATGAGGTTTCGTCATGTTGCCAAGGCCACCGAGATTCTTATTACCTGCTTTATACACATACGGCAATGAAGGTGGCAAAGAGAGTTGTACATAACAGACTAGTAAGTGCCACAGGAATCCAGAGCACAGACAGCCAGTGTAGGCTGAGGAAAAGTATTAGTCTCAACCAGCAATAGATGATACTAAGGCACAAAGCAAACAAAAACTTGTGGCTGTATCCCAATTTTTATAAATAATCTTTGTTTCATCTGTTAGGTATTTAAAGTGAAGCATCAAACAAGGTATAAACTAAGCTCTTATTAAATCATTCTCTGTAACTTTTCAGACACCAAAATCCTTCAAATTCATGAATTTTTCTAAAAAAAAAAAATCCCTAAATAAATATGCCTTTTTTATTTTCTAATTGAGCATCACCTATTTCTTCCTCTTTTATGTGACCTGATCCATAAACTTAATAATACAGCAACCAATGTCTTTCCTGTTCTTACTGAAAGATCATCTTGGGCCTTGACTTTTGCTCCAACATTTTCTAGTCTGCACCTCAGATCTCCTGTAGTGTTGACAGTTAAAATTACCTGACCTAGTAAAGAACATTACACAGGCATACTTGAAAAATAAAATGTGAAGAAAAAGTCTACCCTTGTTTGTAATCATACTCAAATATCTTCACTGACCTGTACTACAGGTACATCATCAAATGCTTTAATAAAATCCTCTTCATCCACAGCACCAGCTCCTTCTTTTGCAGCTGTAAAAAAGAATTTCAAAAAATATGAAATAATGTATATAATACATACACTGAAGAAGTCTAAACATACACAATCAAAATTCTGTTTTGGAAGATTCAGAACTATTTTTTAGAAAGGCTTCATATAACTTTGGAGTGTCATGAAATTGACAAACATTACTGACTTCATATCAAGATGAAATAGAGTAATTCGACAATGCTATATACATTAGCTTAAGGTCACTCAGACTACCTGTTTAAGCAGGGAGGGTATGGTTTTAAAGGGTTTAGATATTGTATTAATATACAAGTCTTTTGAAAGACTCCTAATGAATGGATCAAGCAGAAAATTTAATTCTTCAGGGAATAAAACTGTAATTACTAGGAATTCAGCATTTCAAATTTGTGACTATTCAAACCACTCCTAAATAATTTCAGTTTTATTTAACTTTATATTAGTTTGAAAACATTTCTTTTCCTTGAACTCATGATAACTGTCATTTTTTTTCATTTAAGAATCAGTTACAAGTTTCTCCTACAAAGTTATCCTAAGATGCTTTGTATACTTAAAAGTATTTGAAGAAAGTATTTCTTTTCACTAATCTGAGCTCCCTTTTATGCAAGAAAATCAAGTGATGCTTTATCAGATTTTTTCACATTTCAAAAACTGGTGTCTATAGTCATCTTCATAACCCCCATTAACGATTTACATAGATTAGTCTGATTGCTTTTCTAAGACTTTCTTACCACACATGTATCTGGTGTTTGGGGTCCTGATAACTATCCAGACAGAAAGGAGCTGTAAAGACAATCCCAGGTAGCAGTAAATGTGTCGTCACTCTTGCTGAAGATCCCTCACACCGTGGAAAAGGTAACTACTCTAAAGGCCAGTAGTCACTCACTGTGATGTGGTGCTCTGTGTCTGTTCTAGCAGAAAAACTGATCCCATTGAGCAGACAGGCCCTGAATGCCTGCTTTGCATAAGGCCCTACACCACGTACCCACACATACCAAAAAGGACTCAGAGGCCAACAACAGTCCCTGAGCCTAAGGTATCTGACGAGGAGGAGCTAACCAGGAAATTCATGACTATGGTTTTAAACAACATGGAAAAAAGGGTAAGTGCAGGGCTGAAGGGGAAAACCGAGCTGATATGTGCATAATCTACACAGCAGGGACTTCTGGAAAGGGTATGGATGCGGGATGGGAAGGAAAGCACCAGTCTAGTAATTTTCTAAGCCTTGTTTGTGCAACGGATAACTACCCAAGAATAGATCAAGAAAACAGATTAGAAAGATTGTTCAGGCATTAAAAGGAACAAAGTATTGATATATCCTACAAGGTAGATGAAACACTGAAAACATTCCCTTTAAAATGGCTAATTTTATGTTATGTGAATTTAAAATCAATAACAAAAAGTAAAATGTTTTAAAATACACCAAAAAAATGATTATAAAGAACTGGAAATAAGTACAATTAACATTCCTATTCCTATAGCTCCTCTATCACAGATGCTGGGGTCAGGAGGCAGAGTGGCCCCATGCTGGTCTGGTCAAGATACCAATATTCTAGGGCCAGTTCAGAATTCAGGAGAGGCCATCAGGAGACAGCATTTTAATGCTAATCATGAGTATAGCTTTTATTTGGTCCTTTTGGCTTCATCTTTTTTGGCTCATGGGATTCCCCATCCACCACTATCCCCACCACCACCAACAGCTCAAAAGCTACAGCCATCAGTGAAAATGGTTCTAAGAGCAGCAGCTACACAATTTTTCTGAGGTAAATTTCAGAAGGAATTTGCATGTAAATGTAAAACTTGAGAGAAAATGAGAGTTGTATATAACAACTAAACTGTCTACATTAGGAGTGAAAGGAAGAATTTATGAGAGAAATCTCCTATACTTTATTTAATGCAACATCCTTACTGGTCTCACAAGGAACCATGTTACTTGTAAGAACAAAATGTATTTTATCTTATTTATTTTTATTCCCAACTTTTAAGTTCAGGGGTACATGTGTAGGACGTGCAGGTTTGTTACATAGGTAAACGTGTGCCATGGTTTGCTGCACAGATCACCCCATCACCTAGGTATTAAGACAGGCACATTAGCTATTCTTCCTGATGTTCTCCCTCCTCCCACCCCAAACCCTGCAACAGGTCCCAGTGTGTGTTTCCCCACCCATGTGTCCATGTGTTCTCATCATTCAGTTCCCACTTATAAGTGACAACATGCAGTATTTGGTTTTCTGTTCCTGCGTTAAACTGCTGAGGATAACAGCTTCCACCTCCATCCATGTCCCTGCAAAGGAGACAATGGAGGTGTTCCTTTTTATGAATGCATAGTATTCCATGGTATATATGTACAACATTTTCTTTACCCAGTCTTAATGGGCATTTAGGTTGACTCCAGGTCTTTGCTATTGTGAATAGTGCTGGGATGAACATATGCACACATGTATCTTTATAGCAGAATGATTTACATTCCTTTGGGTATATACCCAGTAATGGGACTGCTGGGTCAAATGGTATTTCTGCCGCTAGGTCTTTGAGGAACTGACACAGTCTCTTCCACAGTGGTTGAACTAATTTACACTCCCACCAACAGGGTAAAAGCACTCCTTTTCCTCCACAACCTCGCCAGCATCTACTGTTTTTCTGACTTTTTAATAATAGGCATTCTGACTGGTGTGAGATGGTATCTCATTGTGATTTGCATTTCTCTAATAATCAGTGGTGTTGGGCTTTTTTTCATACGCTTGCTGGCCGCATGTTCGTCTTCTTTTCCTAAGTGTCTGATCGTTTTCTTTGCCCGCTTTTTAATGGGGTTGTTTTTTCTTGTAAATTTAAGTTCCTTGTAGATTCTGGACGTTAGGCCTTTGTCAGATAGATAGATTGCAAAAATTTTCTCCCATTCTGTAGGTTGTGTGTTCACTCTGATAGCTTATTTTGCTGTGCAGAAGCTCTTTAGTTTAATTAGGTCCATTTGTCAATTTTTGCTTTTGTTGCAATTGCTTTTGGCGTCTTTGTCATGAAATCTTTGCCCATGCCTATGGTCCTAAATGGTATCGCCTAGATTTTCTTCTAGGGTTTTACAGTTTGAGTTAAATTTTAAGTCTTTCATCCATCTTGAGTCGATTTTTGTATCGCGTGTAAGGAGCAGGTCCAGTTTCGATTTTCTGCATATGGCTACCCAGTTCTCCCAGCACTATTTATTAAACACGGAATTGTTTCCCCATTGCTTGTTTTTATCAGGTTTGTTGAAGATCAGATGGTTGTAGTCGTGGGGTCTTTATTTCTGGGTTCTCTATTCTATTCCATTGGTCTATGTGTCTGTTCTTGTACCAGTACCACACTGTTTTGGTTAGGGGTAGCCTTATAGTATAAAGTTGGATAGTGTGATGCCTCCAGCTTTGTTCTTTTTGCTTAGGATTGTCTTGGCTATATGAGCTCTTATTTGGTTCCATATGGAGTTTAAGATAGTTTCTTCTAATTCTGTGAAGAATGCCAATGTTAGTTTAATGGGAATAGCTTGAATCTATAAATTGCTTTGGGCAGTATGGCCATTTTCATAATATTAATTCTTCCTATCCATGAGCATGGACTGTTTTTCCATTTGTTTGTATCGTCTCTGATTTCTTTGAGCAGTGTTTTGTAGTGCTCCTTGAGGAAGTCCTTCACTTCCCTTGTTAGCTGTATTCCTAGCTATTTTATTCTTTTTTCTGTGGCAATTGTGAATGGGAATTCATTCACGATTTGGCTCTCTGCTTGCCTGGTATTGATGTATAGGAATGCTAGCGATATTTGCACATTGATTTCGTATCCTGAGACTTTGCTGAAGTTGCTTATCAGCTTAAGAAGATTTGGGCTGAGACAATGGGGTTTTCTAGATATAAGATCATGTCATCTGCAAATAAAGATAGTTTGACTTCCTCTCTTCCAATGTGAATACCCTAACCCTAACCCCAACCCCATGCTCCTTTAGCTGAGTGAAGTTCATTATTATCCACATTCTGAGGCCTACTTCTGTCATTTCAGCCATCTCAGTCTCAGCCTAGTTCTGAGCCCTTGCTAGAGAGGGGTTGCGGTCATCTGAAGGAAAAGACGTTTCAGCGCTTTTGTGTTGATTCTTTCTCATCTTTGTGGGCTTATCTACCTTTGATCTTTGAGGTTGTGGTCCTCTGGATGGGGTTTTTTGTGGTTGCTGTTTTCTGTTTGTTTTTCTTTTAACAGTCTGGTCACTCTTCTGTGGAGCTGCTGCTACCCAGCTTTCTACAGATTGTCCTTGAGATCTTGAGCTCTGCCCTCCCTGCATGAAGAGCCTGCAGTCCAGGTAGAGAAACACGGGCCTTCCACTCCCACAAAGCTACCTCCTGCTGGCCCAGCTCCACTTCATGCTACCATCCAACAGACACACCAACAGCTGCCACCTCACCATGGCTCACGGGGAACTGGAGCAGAGGTGGCTGGTCTCCACCACCCACAGCCCGACCCTGCATGCGGAGCATGTACACACGCCCCAATACCTAGGGACCGGTGCACAAGATGTATTTTAAAGCCAGGAGTTACAGTGTGACTTCTGGATTATTCTCAGTCTTGTTAAACAGAAATTGTCTAAAACGCCCCTAGTGGTTTCAGGCATTGCTGGATCCAGATAACTAAACAATGCGATGAGGGTGCGCTCTTGCTCTTATCTCGGAGCTATGCTTTCCTCTGTGCTGGTTTCCTTCTTCTACAGGCTCCACCTTAGCAGAATGTGGCAAAAGTCAACACAGTAGCTCAAATGTACAACTTACCAGCTAATCAGCACCAGTACTGCAATGCTAATTCAATCAAAGAATAGCAGGCAGAAACCTGCTGCATACGGGGACTGTATCACTTCTGAGGGCCACCCTAGGCAAGTACTTGCACCTCTGGTTTGAAAAGCTGGCATAGCTGACCCCAGAATGCCACACAGGGCTTAGACTAACCTGAAGACTTGGATCCCAGGGAGGATGAACCAAGCCGGCGGGTGGTTCCCATTCCAACGTTTCTCCGAGAACTTGGTGGAGCCTTGGATGATGTAGAACTAGCAGAGGAAGGTCTGTTACCATCCACAGAATCTTCATCATCAAAATTTTTATCTGAACAGTAAGCACAGAAACCAATGTTTTTTAAAAAACAAAAACTATATCTATATATATATATACACACACACACACTTTTTCATACTTTTGCATACTCTTTTGGAGTCTGAGGTGCCCCTCTAGGGTCTGGAAAGCCTTAGGTTAAGCCCAGAATGAAGCTACAAAGATCATACTTCCTTTCACATACCCAGAATACTTTTGCACTCAAATTTTGAAAAATAGAACAAATATAAAGAAGAAAACAATCTCTCATAAAACCACCACCTAGAAACAGTTATTTTCACATTCTGGAACATTTCTGACCATCCATGCTTTTTTTTTTTTAAAGATAAGAGTCTCACTGTCACTCAATTCTCCCACCTTAGCCTCTCAAAGTGCTGGGATTACAGGCATGAGCCACTCTACTTGGTCACTTGGATATTTTAAAGTAACAGCTGAGATGAGAGTATGTATCATATTGGAATAGTGCTTACTTCAAATATGTAAATTTTTCCTCTGTGATGAAATATTTTTCAGAACCACCATTTTAATAATTGTATGGTACTTTGTAATTGGAAAATGGCACAAGTGAAACATCCTTATGGTTAGACATTTAGGGTGTTTCTAATTCCTCACCATTAGAAATGCAATATTGCAAATGCCTTCCTACATTTTTTGTTTGTTTGTTTGAATTTCCAATCGTTTGAGGAATAAAAACCCTAGAAGCAACAACAGTGGGTCAAAGAGTGTACAAGTTCTTGATGTATAGTGCCAAAATTATCAGAGAGGTCATATAAATGTACATTTCCCCTAGAAGTTCAAAGAAGTACTCATCCTTTCACACCATTGCCAACATTTAATATTACCATTTTTAAACTTTAATCAATCTGACAGGTGGAAAAAAGACTTCATCTTCTATGTTGCATTTATTTTTTAGTGAAGATGAACTTTTTTTTCATAAGCTCATTAACTTTAAAATTTTTTAAACAGCAGTGGAGTCAATCAAAACTCCTCAAGTTGCATTTAAAATTAAAAAAAAAAAAAAACACAGCTATAGTCCTCCCACTTTGGGAGGCCAAAATAGGAGAACTGCTTGAGGCCAGGAGTTCAAGACCAGCCTGGGCAACATAGCAAGGTCCTGTTTTTTAAAAATAAAAAAATTTGTCAGATATGGTGGCATGTGCCTGTAGTCCCAGATACTCAGAAGGCTGAGGCAGGAGCATCACTTGAGCTCAGGAGCTTGAAGCTGCAATGAGCCAGGGTCACTCCACTACATTCCAGCCTGAGTGACAGAGCAAGACCCTGTCTCAAGAAAAAAGAAACATCTTTGGATTCTTAAAAATCAACAAATTTATAACAACACTTCAATGATGCAAAATTAAAGTTTATGCATCAAGTATAAGAGTGAGTCAATTAGGATGCTAAACAAAGAACTTAAGAGTAATTTAAATAAAACAAAAATCAACATCTGTAGCTGGCAATATTCATGATTTCTGAAAGGGGCATTAGTTCTTTACCAATAAGTTTGAAATAAATCATTGCAATCCAAAAAATATACAGAATTCCTGTTTTCCTCGATCTAGTAGCTTCTTAAGCTAAATTATCAACAGCGAAGTCTTGTGTCTACTCAAGAACCCAATGCTCCCTGAAACTCAACAACAATGCACTCCAAATTACATGGCTCAGTTTATTCAACACAGGGTAGGGAGAGGAGGAGAGAAAGACATCCTCACAAATCCATGTCCTTATGCAAATTAGCTCCTTTCACTGTGCCTTTAAATCCCCCAGATTGTCTTGTTATGCCATGCTGTTTCAAGATGGTTCTTTCAACTCATACATCCATTTTTTATTGATTCACATGCACAGTGCTATTAGCATAGACTTCCCGTGGATTCAGAAAGTGGTTCATAATGGCCTTCCCAAAATGAAAATTTATGTCTAATGTAAAGAATAAGAACCACCCAAAGGAGAAGTCACCCACTGAGTACTGTCAGCATTAGCAGTGACAAGGACAGATCTCACTCAGCCTATTTGTCCTCTGGGGAGCTCTAAGAACATCTGAACAGATGTCATTATTCTACTACCTTAAACCATGATCATTCTGCTGAGTAGGAACAGTTCTAGTCTGTGGGACAGGTAAAAAATAAATGGGAGACATGAGGACACAATCATGCTTCACTCACAAATTCATGTAAATTATGTTTAATTCAGTCTTCTTCTAACATACGCAGGCATGTCATTTAGAACAGTACTCGGTTGCCAAGAATTATTTTCAATGGACCAATTTCAATGGAATTCCTGAAATTTTTTGCTTGCATCAGTGATAGACTAGGTGTGGACCAGACTTAACCTCCTGCAATAAATAGCTAGAAAACCTGACAGTATATCTGAAAGAACTACGTGCAGGCACTGGATAATAGGCAGTGCAGAACTTGGCTGTTCAGCTAATTTGCATAAAGATATGCATTTATTTGTTTCTCCCTGCAAGAAAAGATACAAACAAAGTAAGCTATACAATCACCCCAACTTTCTGCCTGGAGGTGTTAATAATTTCCAGGTCACCAAGTACAGGGAGGGGGACCTCAAATTAAACTTAGTAGCCCTGCAGATTAGATACTGCAGACAATAAAGAACAGAGTTCAGAGAGGTTGAGGGTGCTAGAAATTACAGGAAGCTACACAGAAAGAGGGCTACAGAAATGTGCTAAGTTCTAGGCCTCACGTGTATGAGTGAACTTCCACGAAGCAAGGCAGAAAATGACCAAGAAGGTGTGAAATGAACAATTCTTAGAGTTTACACAAGTAGGGAAGCTCCAACCAGCCAAAGTGGAATGTTCTTGGTGACCCACCCAAGGCATTCAATGGAGACCCCCAGAGAGGTCAGGTCTTAGTGAGATTGAAGTACGTCTGGAGTGAAAGTTAAATGAAATCTGCCCTATCAGAGCTTAAAAGCAGGCCTACAGGGCATTAGAAAGACCTGCAAGTAACTTATCTGCTTTGCCAAAACAAAGCGTGATATTCCTAAAAGAAATAAAACAAGACACAGACACTCAACAAGGTAACATTCACAATACGCAACATCTAATAAAAAATTCCTTCACTATGTACAGAGAAGCCTTTAAAAAAAATTTCCTAAACATGATAAGAGGGAGGAAAATGTGGCCCATAATCAGGAGGGGCAAAAAAATCAGAAAATAGTAAACTTCTGAGAAACGATGAGATAAGACATTAAACTTCTATTATAACTATGTTCAATATTAAAAGAATACATAGATACTCATAAGAAAAAAGGAAGATTTTTTTTAAGAATCCAGTGGAACTTACAGATTTTAAGAAAACATAATTATCTGAAATGAAAATTTCACTGATTGAGATTAAGCGCAGGCTAGACATTGCAGAAGTAAAGAAAAAAATCAGGGAACTTAAACATATAGCAATAGAATTTATCCAAAATAAGCACAGAAGCACAGAAACAAAATAGGCTGAAAAAATAAATAAAAGGAATAGAGTCTCAGAGACCTGAAGGATAATATCCAGCCGTCTAACACACACAACACTGCAGGCCTGAAGGACAAGGGGAAGAAGGGGAAGGACAGAAAAAGATTAAGAAATGATGGCCAAAACATTTCCAAATTTGATAGAAACTATAAACCTACAGATCCAAGAAGCTGCACAACCCAAGCAAGACACACACACAGAAAAGCATACTGAGGCACACCATAATCAAACTGTTAGGCCCAGACAAGAGCAGCCAGGGGAAGAGACATAGTACACAGAACAACAAACATAACAGCAGCAGCAGAATTCATCAGAAACCCTGCCAGCCAGAACACAATGGAAATGACAGCTTGAAAATGGTATTCACCTAGAAGTAACCTAGAATTCTATATCCAGTGAAAACATCTGTTAAGAATAAAGGCAAAATAAAAACTCAAACAGAAACTGTCATCAGCAGACCTGCACTTCAAGAAATGTAACAGGAAGATCTTCAGGCAAAAGGAAAAATGATATCAGTTGGAAACTTGGATTTTCATAAAGAAATAAAGAGCAGTAGATATGGTAAATATGTGAATATAAGACTTTCTTCTCATATTTTATTATTTATTCTCCTGTTTTAATTCTTTCACACTACCATTTCTATAAAAGATGACTGACTGTTTAAAGCAAAAATATTTAGCTTTCACTCTTTTTACATTCTCATGTAATAGGCCAATAACCTGGGGGCCAGAGGAACCATAATTAGGATATATGTTGCTGTACTAGATGACACACACAAAACAATACGGGAAAGAAGGCACAGGGAAGGCATGAAGAAAATGGAAGCAGCTCCGTTTCTGTCCTCAAAGAGCATATATTTTTCAAAGTTGATTATAACTTGTCTAAACTGCCTGAAGATGTCACACAACAGTGTATCACAAACCTTACCAAGAAGGCACGCCCTTCATCACCAACACCTGTATGAAATGTCTCCCAAAGAAGGGAAGGATGACGCCGGGCACGGTGGCTCACGCCTGTAATCCCAGCACTTTGGGAGGCTGAGGCGGGCGGATCACGAGGTCAGGAGATCGAGACCATTCTGGCTAGTAGATGGTAGTAGTAGATGGTGAAACCCCATCTCTACTAAAAATACAAAAAACTAACCGGGCGCGGTGGCGGGCGCCTGTAGTCCCAGCTACTCGGGAGGCTGAGGCAGGAGAATGGCGTGAAACCGAGAGGCAGAGGTTGCAGTGAGTCAAGATAGCACCACTGCACTCCAGCCTGGGTGGCAAAGTGAGACTCTGTCTCAAAAAACAATAAAAAATAAAAAATAAGAAGGGAAGGAGGAAAGGGCATACCGAGCAGCCAATGCAGGGCTTTTTAAACTGAACTTTTGGAGTTATACCTGTCTTTTTACTTACCCTTTGGAAACAAATTTAACAAGCTTACTTAGCTGATTCCCTAAGCAGATTAGAAGCAACTAACTACAGGGATAGTGAGAAGGAGGACGTGCAAAGTAATGTTAACAAGTGAGCTGAATGC